CCGTGGTCGCGCGCCTGCAGTGTCAGCTGGAAGGAGCGCAGCTGCTCATGGTCGAAGGCACGCTGAGCGAACACCACTCCGCTCTGCGCGTTTATGGTCACGTAGGACCACAGCGATTTAGGCTCCAGGTCGCTGGCTATGATGGAATAGGAGACATGACCGTTGGATCCCAAATCCGGGTCGGAGGCACTGACTTGAGCGATGGAGGCTCCAGGCGGATTGTTTTCTGCCACGTGGACTACGTAGGAAGACTTCTGGAAAGCAGGAGCGTTGTCGTTAACGTCAGTGATGTGCAGAGCGATGGTTGTACTGGAAGAAAGGGCTGGGTTGCCTTTGTCCGTGGCGGTGATGGTGACATTGTACTGTGGGTTCTGCTCTCGGTCTAGGGCTCCGTCGGTTACTAACTTGTAGTAGTTACTAGAAGAAGCCTGGAGCTTGAAAGGCAGGTCTTTGCTTAGATCACACTTGACTTCTCCGTTTCCTCCGAAATCCCGATCTCGCGTTTTGAAGATGGCAACCACCACTCCCGGAGGAGAATTCTCCAAGATATGATCAGAAAGGGAGGTGATGATTATTTCTGGACTGTTGTCATTTTCATCTAGGACGTCTATGACGATTTTACACCGTGTAGAGAGACCACCGCCATCCTTTGCTTCCACTTCCATGGTGTATCCCTCTATGTCTTCAAAATCCAACGACTGGTTATTTCTGATCACGCCTGTTTTCTCATCTAGTGAGAACACGTGTCTTGTACTCTGGGCAGTGTTCCGAAAGTAGTAACGTATCTCAGCGTTGACACCCTCATCCTCATCAGTGGCTGTCACTTCCAATATAGACGATCCTGGGGGCAGATTTTCACTAACACTGATCCTATATTCCTCTTTGCTAAACACTGGAGGGTTGTCATTGATGTCCTTTACAGATATTTCTATCAGAGTGGTAGCACTGCGGGGCGGGTCCCCTCCATCCAAGGCAGTCAGTATCAAGCGATGAGAGCTCTGTTCTTCCCTATCTAGGAGTTTCTCCAGAGACAACTCTGGGGTTTTGCCACCATCAGGATTAACTTTAACCATTAACGAGAAATAAGGGTTGGGGCTTATCTGGTAATCTTTAATTGAATTCAAATTTATGTCCGGGTCAGTGGCAGGCTCAAGAGGTATTCGTGTACCAATCGACACAGATTCTAAGATTTCTAAACGCGTTTCTTTCTTCTCGAATTGAGGAGCGTGATCATTAACATCCTCAATCTCCACAACGACATGAAAAATATTTAAAGGGTTTTCTAGCACGGCTTCCAACTGCAGCTCACACCTTCTCCTCCCTTTGCATATCTGCTCGCGGTCTATGCGGTCCTTCACCAGTAAGTCCCCGCTCTCCGAATCCACGCTGAAGTGCAGCTTCTCAGCGCTAACCCGCAGCTTCCTAGCCGACACTTCTAGGACACTGAGCCCCAGATCCTTGGCGAGATTCCCCACCACCGACCCGCGGTCCAGCTCCTCGGGGATGGAGTAGCGGACCGGCTGGCCCAGCGCGGGACAGAACAAAGGCAGCAGCAGGGTAAACAGTACCTGCGGGCGGCCGGGGCGCTGCCTCTGTGCGCTGCTCCTTTCCATTGCTGGCTGGAGTTCTCTGTAGGTCTTCGGATCTTCACAGTAGGAGAGAGTGCAGTCTACCGGGGTGGAGGTCGGTTTGGTCCCGGACAGCGGGACCCCAGTTTGGGGCCGGGAATCGGTGTCTTAGTCTGTGTGAGTGAGAGTTCCCCTTGGTGTGTATTTGTTTCAAGCGCAGGAAATTGCAGCGTAGAGACTGAGGGATCCCGGGCATCAGAGCTTGCTCTGCACTGGCCGACAGCGGCGCCCAGAGGCTCTGAGTGGAGTTGCAGTCTATCTTGTTTAGAAATCTCTTCCCAAAAATGTATGTATAGCAACATGGGGTCATGAAATAGCCACACATTTTAATCTCACGATGGGATTACAGTGGATACTTATGAATTTAACGTTTTAAAGATACTTACACTACACTATGGAACATTATGTATTATGTTGTGAATCTTCACAAACAGATCAGACCAACTAACTTCAACAGTGATAAACATAAGGCCAATCTTTGTTTAGTGTACATTAAGCTTTCTGGCTATTCAGGAGAAAATACAAAACATATAGCGTAGTTTAACACTTTTTTAAAGAAATGAGACAAAAATACCAGTAATTTCATTTTCAGCCTATTTATATTCTAGGATCAACACACACTGACCATTCCACACTCTTCTCCACCACCAATGTACTTACCTATGTTGTGTTTTTAAACTAAAGAACAGTTGGGTGTGAAATCATTTGTCTGCAAGCATGAGAGTAGTCTGGGAGACACAATGAGACCCTGAGGCAAAAAGTCAACCAAACCAAAGGAAACAAATATGTCTTCACTGTGCTTCTGTAAACAATCCTGATAAGAAGAAACACAGGGGGCTGGAGAGATGGCTCAGCGGTTAAGAGCACTGACTGCTCTTCCAGAGGTCCTGAGTTCAAATCCCAGCAACCACATGGTGGCTCACAACCATCCGTAATGAGATTGGATGCCCTCTTCTGGTGTGTCTGAAGACAGCTACAGTGTACTCATCAATACAATAAATAAATAAATATTTAAAAAAAAAAAAAGAAACACAGGGAAGACATGCAAGTAGGAGGGGGCTAGTTGGGAAGAGTGGGGAGGGGTGGAGGTAGGAGGTGACAAAGTGAGAGTGAGTGTGATTGAAACACATTACACACACGTGTGGAAATGTCATAATTAATATGTTAATAATCATTGAAAAGAGAAGTGATGTTTTGTGTAGTTATCTACTTACCACATCATAGATACATACATCATGGGTATCTATGTTATTATTCTTTCTCCCAAATCAACATGCATTTTAAACTCATGATTTGAAAATAGATATGACTCTTCAGAAAATTTAAAAAATCCATATGTCATTATTAAAATAATAAGATCCCCAAAGAATTATTTTCTCCTATCAGTTTAAGTAAGAAAGAATAAGTTCTTTTGCTTCTTTTCTAAGGTGCTGCAGATTGAACCAGGAGCTATGCACAACTTCTCTACCCATGAGTTATACCTGTAGTGCTGGAAGAATGCTTGAAGAGACTAAAATGTCTATATATCCAGAATATACCTTAATATCAACATCTAGACATTTTAAACTCCATACTAAGCACACAGTTCTCTACATCCATACAAGCATCATCAGTCATCAATGTATCTATGCAACGTAAGTTTATAATAGGAAAAAAATTTAGACAGGGTCTCTCTACATAGCCCTGGCTTTCCTGGACTCACTTTGTAGAACAGGCTGGCCTCAAACTCTGAGATCTGCCTGCCTCTGCCTCCTGAGTGCTGGGATTAAAGGTGTGCACCACCACACCAGGCTGTAAATAGAAATTTGCAAGTTTCATTTCTTTTCTTTTTTCAGACACAGGTTGAACCTGGCGTCTCACACATGACTTTTCACAGAGCACCTCTCCCATCTCCAGGGTGTATTTTCAAGTGTTCCACATGCCATCTGTTACTTGAACGCTGACATTATGTTTAAAATCTCAGTAATAAATTATTTTTCCTAATAGCTAAAATCCAGGAAAATCTTAGAATTTCTTCCCGCATGTCCCGAGAATAATTTCTAACTTACACCCCATGTTCAGGTTCATTTCCATTCCCAGAGATTGGAGAATTGAGCTGGAGCCAAAATTCTGATTCCCCATATTAGCAACTTCTCTTGAGCAAGCTTACACTTGAAAGAAGAGTGTCAAACTAATTTTCATAGCTTGATACTACAGCATTAGGAAACCCAAGCCTTTAATGCTATCATCATAATGGATATCACAATTTTCACCATTAAAAGAAAACCAGAAAGCTTTGCTGGGGTTTGGGAATGATAGCTGAAGCTCGACTCCTCCTCAGTCTGGGAAAGCAATAGTTCATAGAAACGGAAATATGGAGGCAGAGACTGTGGGTTTCCAGTTGTTCCCCTAAGAAAGGGGAACTTTTTGGTTCAACCCTACAAAAGTATCACTCTAGAAACTGTTCTAGGAGCAAGAGCTACAACGAGGGCATTGAGAATAATGATTGATTCATGTCAGGAAAAGAACTGCAGCTGTAGAGATTGTAGAGAACTACTGTAACCAACCAAGGCATTCTATCTCTATCCGAACAGCCCTCTCCATGCAGGACAATGAGGATTGCCCCGATCCACAGGAGTTTCACAATAAGAAAGTGAAAGTCATCTCAGTGGTGTCTAGCTTACTGTACATTGAGCTTTCTGGCTATTCAATAAACCTTCTAGATGTTGTGGGTGAAGCTTAGACTCAATGAAAACTTGAGTGGTTACAAATATGTAAATATCAGCTTAACAAGACTAAGAGTGAATTGTCATACTTAATAAAGAAAAAACCCCCAGAACTCACAGGAACCAAAGGAGTGTCATCAATTGGAAATTTGGACTCAACTGAACTGCACAGAGGTTCACTTTTCCCACAGCTCTCCTGGCTGATGAGTGTGTCTGCATAGTTGGGCTGGGGGAAGATTAGGTGGCTCTTCCCAGAGTCAGGTGTCAGGGAAAACTCTTCAGAATAGGTTTGTAGGAAAGTCTGAACGCCATGCACACCCACAATATGTGATGTTGGCACCGCAGTGGATCTACCCATTGCATCCTGCAGCAGGTGCGAAGCATGCCAGCGCCGTAGCCTAAGTGCCAGCAGCACCAGTACAAAGAGTAGGAAGACACAGGAGACCACAGCAACTGCCACCACCAGGTAGAGAGTAATGTCAGAATCAGGGTCTGCAGGAGTGTTGATACTGCTCAAGTCAGCCAGGATGTCAGGGATGCTGTCTGCCACAGCCACCGTCAGAGTGATGGTAGCTGAAAGAGGGGGCTGGCCATGGTCCTGTACAGCTACCACAAGGCTTTGCTTGAGTGTATCTCTCTCTAGAAGGGCCCGAGCTGTGCGTACTTCACCTGAGCGTAGCCCCACTGTGAAAAGTCCTGGCTCACTAGCCTTGAGCAGACGGTAAGACAACCAAGCATTCTGTCCAGAGTCTTTGTCCACTGCTACCACCTTGGTCACCAGATACCCAGCCTCTGCTGAGCGGGGAGCCAGCTCCACACCAGTGGAGCCATCAGTTGGGTGGGAGGGATACAGGATCTTGGGAGCATTGTCATTCTGATCCAATAGGAACACAGACAGGGACACATTGCTGCTGAGTGGTGGATGCCCATTGTCACTTGCCTTCACCTGCATTTGCAGGTTTCGAAACTGCTCATAGTCAAAGGATTGTAGAGCATAGAGCACGCCAGTATCAGAATTAATGGAGACGTAGGAGGAGAGTGGTGCCCCCTGGATGGTATTTTCCACCAAGGAATAAGTAACCTTAGCATTCTCATTTTCGTCAGGGTCGTGGGCACTAACTGAGAAGATGGAGGTGCCTCTGGGGTTGTTTTCGGGGAGATAGACTGAGTAGGAGGTTTGAGAGAAAGCAGGCGGATTGTCATTGATGTCAGCCACATACAGGGTGATGTGAACTTCTGTGGACATGGATGGGGTTCCCCTGTCTGTTGCTGTCACTGTGATGTTATACTCAGAAGCCTTTTCTCGATCAAGAATCTGGGCTGTCAACAACCTATAGTAATCGTCTACTGAGTTTTCTAACTTAAAAGATGGGTCCTCCTGGATGGAACAGACAACTTGCCCATTCCTTCCAGAATCTTGGTCATGAGCGTTAAAAAGGACGATTACTGTCCCTGGGGGAGCATCTTCCCTTACTGGGCTAAACAGAGATGTAATGGTCACTTCTGGTCGATTGTCGTTTACATCTTCTACCATAACTACCACTTTGGTCCACCCTTTCAGTCCCCCACCATCTTCAGCCTGTATTTCCATTTCATACAATGAACATTCTTCATAGTCCAGATTTTTCGCTACTGTCATTTCCCCCGTGTTTTCATGAAGATGGAATAATAGTGATTGTTTTTCATTAATTTTCCGGAACTTGTATGTCACCTTCCCATTGGCACCCTCATCCGGGTCGCTAGCTCTCACTGTAAGCAGCAGGGTGCCCGGGGCCACGTTCTCAAGGACTTTCACACGGTAAACAGGTTGGTCAAAAACAGGGGCATTGTCATTGGTATCCAACACTGTGACCTGGATGAGCGCTGTGCTGGAGCGGCGCGGGTCGCCACCATCTGTGGCGGTGAGGACCAGGTGGTGTGAGGGCTCTTCCTCTCGGTCCAGGATGCGCTCCAGCACCAGCTCTGGGTTTATAGTTCCGTCGTCTCCGGTTTGCAGGTGGAGAGAGAAGTGCCGGTTGGGGCTGAGTTGGTAACTCTGGAGGGAGTTTATGCCCACATCTGGGTCAACCGCTTCTGGGAGTCGATACCTTGCTCCAGGGGCAGCGATTTCACTGATCTTTACAATCAAATTTTGGTCCTCAAATTTTGGCGCATTGTCATTGATATCAATCACTTCTACTTCCACCCCATAAAGTTTCACTCTGTCTTCAACTAGGACTTTAAAGCTTAGGAGACAAGGTGCGCTCTGAGCGCACAGTTCCTCCCGATCTATCCTGCCCGCGGTGACCAAACAACCGCTCCGCAGGCTCAGAGAGAAAAGCGGGGTCTTACCTTTGGTGATGATGCGAACTCCGCGCTCCGCCAGCTCGCGGGTCTCCAGCCCCAGGTCCTTAGAGATGTTTCCCACTATATAGCCCTTTTCTGTCTCTTCTGGCACGGAATAGCGGATCTGCCCGGCTCTGGCCTCCCACAGCATCCCCAGCAGCACACACAAGAGGACCAGTCTTCTGCAGTGCGGGCGACTGGTCGGGGCAGCCATTGTTGCTTTTGCTACGGAATTTTCTCAGAATGTTCTCTCTGCTCGATGACTCCTTAGGCTCTTCTTTTCTTTCTCCAACTGTCAGATGATACTTACTCCTCAGGAGAAAGTCAGAGTGGTCCAAATTAGAAGGTTGAGTTTTGCTATAGTCCGGGAGCCAGTTTGTAGGATGTGCAAGGCTTTGTGTAGGTGCTGACAGGAAAATCCGGATGGATCCGGGAGTTTTTCTTTCAGTTGGTGAACAGCGGCGCTCAGAGTCCTAAATTGTTACTACACCGTCTGAGACATCACACTCCCCTCCTTCCCTCTATCCGTTTCTCTTCCTTTCTTTACCCTCTTCTCTCTCCCTTCTCATCTCCTCCCCTTTTCCTTCCTTCCTTCCTTTCTTTCTTTTTTCACCCCTTCTTCTCCCCTTTCATCTTTTATCTTTTTGAGAAAGTGTCTTACAAAAATGGAGTCGGTCAGGCTGGTCTTGAAGGCTTGTATTCAAGCAACGCTCCTGCCTCAGCCTCTAGAGCACTTGGTTCTGCTCGTGTGCTCCCCTGAAATATCTGATTATAGATGATTGATAAAGAAACTAGTACTCTCCGATTATTGTGATTTTAGATTATCTAAGCATTTTCTTGCATTCGTACTTCAAAAGCAATTTTCTGATATCTGAGTTGTAAATGATATTTCTGTATTAACTTTCCAAACTGTTTTGGCTTAATCTTAGCCCAACTCACTTTAAATTTGGGGTTACACACACACACTCTCTCTAGATATACACAAATCGTTATAATTTCATTTTTATGGTGCTTCATTTTGCATATATCTTTACAACTTTTAGAAATAACTTTCGTGTGAAGGTTATATAACATTCATATTTTCATTATACTTTATGATATATGTGTTCATTTCATAATTATGTTAATTTCATTTTTTTTCCTGGAAGGGCCTCATTATGTAGGCTGGCCTGGAACTGCTAAATAGACAAGAGTGGTCTCAAATTCACAGAGATCATTCTGTCTATGCCTCCAGAGTGATGGAATTAAAGACATATACCGCCAAGCATGGCTCATAATTAAACTGAATGAATATATAGATGGATTATCCACATAAGACATAAGATTTATCCGTTTTAATGATAAAGTTCATTGTTTCTTTAAAATTTTTGTGTTATATACATAATTCTACTTAGACAGTTTTTATACATTTTCTTACCTTATCTATTAATGTTAAAATCTCAACAGTGTGTGTGTGTGTGTGTGTTTAAAGAATGGGTCTCACTCTGTAGCCCTGGCTGTCCTGGAACTCTGAGAGGTCCTTCCTGCCTTTGTCTTCCAAGTGTTGGGAAAAAAGTGAGCAGCCACCATGTCAGACAGGATTCCGGTTTCAAATTTCTTATTCATGCAACTATGTAAACTTTCCCATGAATTCACAAAGGGGTTAGCTTTTGGCGTGAATACATGATGCATGTACAAGTATTGGGAAAATAAAAGTTAATATTCAGAATTTTTTTCATTTCAATCCTTTCATCGAGAGAGAAAGAGAGAAAGAGAGAGAGAGGAGATGAGGAAAGGAGAGGAGAGATACTGGAAATGGAACCTGGAACCTCAGAATTCTAGGCAAGAGTTCTACCACTGAGCTACATCATCAGCCTCAGACATTCAAGGGCAGGGACGTGGCTTAGTAGACAAGCCTAGCAGGCATGAGATTACGAGCTCAATTTCCAGGACAAGAAGAAAAGAGGCAAGACATCATGTGATTTTTAAAATAGTCATACACCTCTTATTCTAAAGCTCATTTAAACTTAAGTAATAATTTACAGAAAAGAGCACAAAATATAGAACAAATGTTTACTACTAAGAGGTAAACATCAAGTGGTGTTGTGTAAAGAAGAAGCCTGTTTTTAAAGATGTCATTTACTATGTTTTACTGTCAGAGGAAACAAAGCAAAGACATAGTATAAAATGGTAGTTTTGTATGCATACCTGACTAGTAGCTTTTGCCACATGAGGCAATAACTCAGAATCCCCCACTTCAAGGATGGTTGGGAAACCTTTGTGGCTTCAAATTATAAGAAGAATCCAGTGTTTTCCCCCGCATCCCTTCTTCTTCAAAGATTATATGTCAAGAACCAGAGCGGGAGCTGAAGAAATGGCTCAGCAGTTAAGAGCACTGACTGATCTTCCAGAGGACCTGTGTTCAATTTCCACACTCTACAATTTCTACTCTATGTGGGGTCGTCACATCAATCTATAACTCCAGCCCCGTGGGATCCAACACTCTTCCTTTTTTGGCCTCTTCAGGAACTGGGCATGAAAGTGGTGTTCAGACATTATTCGAACAAAACACTCATGCACATACAAAAATAAAAAAGAACCAGAACAAATGAAATGGGCGTGATAGCATCTTCTTTTCTTTCCCTCAGCCTCCCCTTCTGTGTGTGCTGGACATTAAACCCAAGACCCAGAGCATCATGTGAGTAGGGCTCTACCACTGTGTCCCAGCCCCAGTTTTTCCTTTCTTTCAGGATTTCACTGTCCTGAAAGCTGATAGGACTTAGTTGAGTCTGAAGAACTCAGCAAATCTCTTTCATTCCACAAATACACAAGGAAGTTTTCATGTATTTTTAGAATAATCAAAGTCACTAATCTGTTAGGTAACTATAAGAAGCTAACCATGAGGAATAAACACAAGAAAGGAATCCATTAATGAAATCAATGAAGAGGCCAATGAGTAGTTTCATGCAGTTTTCTCTGTGCAACCCTGGTTGTCCTGGAACTTGCTCTATATACCAGGCTGACTTCCAACTCTGAGGCCTGCCTCTGTCTCCTGAGTGCTGGAATTAAAGGCATGGGCCACCATGGCTCAGCAAATTAAGCACTCAATTTAATGCTTGCCTATGTAATCCAGACCTGTAATCCAGCATCCAGGAGGCTGAGACAGGAAGATCTCCAGTTCTAGGCTGGCTTCTGCCACATAGTATAAATTTCCAGTGCAGCCTGGGATACCCTGTGAGTCATGTAACAAGGTCACCCTATATACTACATAGCAAGACTCTGTCCCAAAAAAGTGAAAATCAACAGGTAAATTTCAATCACGTTTAAAAACTGTGCACTTGTTTTGTTGTGGAGCTAACAGCACACACTGTCAGTACTGTTTGGATAATGCTCTACGTTGTAAATCTGTAACCTTTAATTTCTTTCCTGAAACTTATTTTTTATCATAATTCACCCAACTCTATTGAAACAGAACTTTCTGAGCCAAACTAGCTTTTCGAAGAGGACTCACAAGACCTGAAAATGTGTTGTATTACTATGTAAATATAGACAGTTGTGTAGTTCAGGAAGAGAGAAAGAAGAAAAGGTTTGAATGGAACTCACCGGTGTTAGAGGTTCTGTGTGGGAAGTCGGCTCACTGGAATCACAAAGTGGAAACAAGGCCCCGGATGATTCAGGGCAAATAAGGCCTTGTCCTGAACTCAATGGCTCATTACATTTTAGGAAATTACACTCGGTCTTTCCGGCATGTGCACCATATAGATTATAGGAATATGGCAAAGTACCTTCACTATAGTTGGGGAAAACCACAGGTTTAGATTCAGAACAAAATCCAGGCTGAAAGCAATTCCAGACAGAGGGGCTGGAGGAGTGTCGCAGTCGAAGTGCAATGGCTA